CTCTTTCCATTTCATTTCCCTTATAGTTTTATCCTAATGAAATATTTTTTTTCTCCATTACATCACTTTTTTTGTATTTTAATGTATTTTTGGAAAGTCTTTTATTATATATCTCTAACAAAAATATGTACATAAATTTAAATTTACTTTGTGTGACCATAAGACTATAAGTATTAAAAACAATTACTCTGTCCTGGATTTAAAATTAGAATTATTAAAAGATGCAATTGATCAAAACTACAACAATTTTTATGAAATTAAAAGATTCTTCCTCCTTAGAAGAAAAGCTATGATGGAACTAGACAGCATATTAAAAAGCAGAGACATTACTCTGCTGACAAAGGTCCGTCTAGTCAAGGCTATGGTTTTTCCAGTAGTCATGTATGGATGTGAGAGTTGGACTGTAAAGAAAGCTGAGCACCAAAGAATTGATGCTTTTGAACTGTGGTGTTGAAGAAGACTCTTGAGAGTCCCTTGGACAACAAGGAGATCAAACCAGTCCATCCTAAATGATATCAGTCCTGAATATTCATTGAAAGGACTGATGCTGAAGCTGAAATTCTAGTACTTTGGCCACATGATGCAAATAACTGACTCATTGGAAAGGACCCTGATGCTGGGAAAGATTGAAGGCAGGAGGAAAAGGGGCCACCATAGGATGAGATGGCTGGATGGCATCATCGACATGATTTTGAGCAAGCTCTGGGAGTTGGCTTGCTGCAGTCCATGGCGTTGCAAAGAGTCGGACACGACTCAGCAACTGAAATGAACTGAACAAATATTGACAGTGATTAAACAAAAAAGTAAAAAAAAAAAAAAAAAGACACAAAAAACAAAAAAGTAAATTTTACTGAAAACACATCTCTTAATGAGATGGAAAGGGCTGATTTTACCAGCTCCAGAAAGAGCACTGTGGTCCATTTCACAGTGGGTGAGAGAGCTCAGCTTTCCTCTGTCTAGTGAAAGAACAGTTAATAGAGGCAGGTGGAAAACACAGTTTTCAAGAAGATTCATTTTACGAAGGAACACATATGTTTGTGGAAATTGATCCCCCTTAAAACCTGGTCCTGCCCATGAAAACCCATGGAGAGTTACCATGTTCACTTAGAGTAGGCAAACCGTCAACTAGTTAAAGAGAGACTTAACTTGGTTTCTTATTCTCCAAAATAGGGATCTCAGAATGGGTCTGAATTTCCTTGTAACTCTTGATAGTTGCATTTCCAACCTTCTTCCTGCTGAGTCCCCATCCTTATGCATATGGGCAAGACAGGAACTCAGATGACTTCCAGATCACTGTAGGTTTGTGGCTGTGACAAGTGCATCTGAACATGCAAAGACCTGCTCATTGGCAAAGAAGCAGCCTAGAGTCAAAATTAAGAAAACATGGTTTTTTAATTTTTCCACTTCATGGAAGCACCACGGCTCCTGATAGTTCCCAGTGGTTGGCCACCAGGTGGCAGCAGAGAGAACATAGTGCTGCCAGCCCTGCCCCTGAGTTCCAGGGTTGGGGAAGAGGAGGTGGGAGGTGGGGGTAGGGATGTTCTGCTGTCAGAGAAAAAAGGAGAGGGAAAGTGGGGCTTAAATACCCACGTCAAGAGGGGGCAGAAAATATGGACAGCATCTTCAGAATAAAACTGAAGGAATGAGGAAAGGAATTAAGGAGTTAAGCTAAATTGTGGAGAATTCGAGGGGAATCAGAAGAGTGGAGATGGGTTTGAGAGCAGGGGTCCAGGATGCCTCTGGAGGCCCAGTTATCTGTACTCCTCCCTGGGTGGGTCAAGGTCTGGCTCTTCGTGAGATCCGTGGTCCACCTCAGGGGCAGGTGGCCAGGGGTTTTCTGGAGGCTGGGGTCCTGCGGGCCAGGGGTCGTCAGGCCGAGGAGGTTGAGGGGGATCAGTTCTAGGGGGTTCAGGAGGCCAGACTCCAGAATCAGGCAGGTCTCTCCAGGGACGACTGGGGCCTGGAGGTGGAGGATCCTCAAAGAGAGGGGGTGCCCCTGGCCAGGGGTCACCAGGGATTGGGGGGCCCTGAGGCAATGGTGGAGGGCCCTCCTCCTCTGAGATCTCTCTGGATGAGGGAGAAGGGTGGTCTCCACTGCCTGAGATGCCTGTAGAGGAGGAAGGAGGAAGATAAGAGGTTGTGAGGGTCCGCCCCTCTCCCGGCAGCTAGTACCCCAGGAGCATCGCCTCTCTGCGATGGACCACAGCCTGAGCTGATCTAACAAACAAAACTCAAAAGTAACTCTCCCCGCATTTGCAGAATACCAACACAATCTTAAAATGACATAAAACCCTGTCCTGAACTACGGACTAGACCAACTTTAAACTGATATGACCTCCCTTCCCCCACATAAGCTCCCTCCAACCCTGTTTGGGACACCCCACTGGGAGGACCCCTATACATGTCTGAGGTCCCAAAGCTGTCTACACCCTGGCCCCATGTGGCACCCAGATCCCATCCCTACAGTGACCTTCTCCCCTTAACAGAGACCTCAGCTCTGATGAACACTTGCCTGCATACCTGAATGCTGATCTAAGTTGCCACGTGGAGCTAAAGCCAAACCAGCAAAATGTTTACTCTGTGCTAAAATGCACCTAGTCACATCACCTCTGTCCCCTTAACTCTTCCCCTCACATGCATCTCCCAGGATCTCCCAGAATCTCCCTGTCCTTATGCATCCATCTCAGCCTCGCCTCATCCTGACTGGTCCCCGTCACCCCAAATCACACTCTGGGCCTCTGTTCCCAGCTCACCTCCAGCAAACAGGCAAAGGACCAAGATCCCCAGGAGTTTCCAGTTGAGCATCTTGGCTATCTCCTGGCCCCCAAAGTCAGGGGTCAGCTGAGTCTGGGAGACTGAGAACCCTAAGAGGCTTTATAGGGGAGGAGGGAGTGGTGAAGGCTGATCTCTGGGGAGGGGCCGGCCCTGTCACACAAGGAATTGCATCCAAACCTGACTGGTCAAACCTGTCTGGAAGCCCTTGGCTGGTGTGTAATCACTGATGGTGGCGTCCCTCATTTTAGTCCCCTAGCTCAGGACCCAGCCACCCAGGCTTTATCGATGACCTAGACCTTGGTCACCCCACCCTTGTTTTCACGTCCCCCTTCATACACACCCTGCAGCAAATCCTAATAACAGGGACTTCTACCTCTCATCCCTTGAGGTCCCTGGAAGCCAAGGAATGGGAGCAAGCATGCGTGGGGAAGCAGTGTAATTACAGGGGCTGAGAGGCAAGATGCAGGGCAGAGGGCGGGCAACTGGGGGGACAAGGAGGGAGGGGATGGGCAGGGGTGCTCTCTCAAACACCTGGGACACAGCCAGGGCCATCTCAGCTGGTACACTGAGCCTCTTCCACCCACACCAGGGTAACCCTCTCTTGGGACTCAATTCTTCCTGGAATTTGCACTCCCCAGCATACACCTTCTCCAGGCTCAAAGGGGGCTTCCCAAGGAGTGACACACGAGGAATTTCATCCAGGAGCCACCTGAGGTGACTGCAGGTGAAGAAGGAAGTACAAGACATCCTGATTCCTTCTCCCCACCCCAAGGATGGTTCCAGTCAGTCACACCCCAAGGCTCTGGAAGAAGCTGCCTCAGCTCCCCCTGGCACCTCAGCCTCTTTCGCCTCCCTCTAGAATCTTCACCGCCCTTCCTCTGGTCCTTGGTGGGAACTCTCTGCTCCCCGCTTCTCTCCCCTCATCCTTCAGACATCAGTCTGTCTGGTCTGAGTCGCTCAGAGATGTCCCTCGAACTTTTCCGCAGCAAGGACTCCTTTGTCAGGATGTCTCATGAGCCACTCAGAAGCAAATGTCCAAAACTGAACTCACTTCCTCCACAACCTGGTCTGCTCCCCAGCGGTCAGGAATACCACTGTCCCCTGCGGCTCAATTTTTCAGACTTCATTCTTCTCTCTCCTCATCCCGTGCCCCCAAACGCGTCCTCCACAGCCAGTTGATAGGTTTTTTAAATATGTAGGTCAAATTGTGTGGCTGTTCTCAGTTTAAAAAGTATTCCAGGGGCTGTCTATTTATTTATTTAATCTGGCTGGACCAGGTCTTGAGTTGTGGCATACAGGATCTTTAGTTGTGGCATGTAGAAATCTAGTTCCCTGACCAGGGATCGAACCTGGGCCCCCTGCTTTGGGAGCGCGGAGTTTTAGCCACTGGACCACCAGGAACGTCCCTCCAAGGGGGTTTTATTGACTTAAGAGTAAAACCCTAGCTCCACCAGGCCTGGCCTCTCTCTGCGGCATCCTCCCTTGGGCTCCCTCCAGCCTCTGGACCTGTCCGTCCTCGTGCTTCTCCCAGGAGGCTGCACTGCCCGCTCCTTACCCCACTCTAGCCTCAGCAGCACATCCCTCCTGAGAGAAGCCCTACCTGTCCCCTCATCTAAAGCGGCCCCTCCCCACAGAACTAGTTTCTATCATGTCACTCATTTTTTTCCTCTTCACAGCACTTGTTTGAAACACTCATTTGTTCATGTAGGTACCTGCCTGTCGTCTGTCTCTCCCACCAGAAGTGTCTCGGGAGCAGGGACCCACCCATCAATCAAACCCACCAGTGCCCCCACCAAGGCAGGACGCTGCCTAGCTCTGTGATTCCTGCTGAGCACGTGAATGTTTTATCTGCCTCGTGCCCTTGCCTTGACCATTTCCCAGAGGTAGTTTTAAGACAAAAATTAGGAATAAAACAAAACCTGGAGCTTCTCCAAAAACCTCCCAGGCGACCTAGGAAAGGGGTTTTGAAAAAGGAATCATCTAGAGAAAGAGCTGTATAAGGGACTGGTTCTCATATTTCCCAGACAAGAGAGGCTCCGGGGAGAAAATTTCCTTGTATCCCCAAAGAGAACTGTCCAAACCATGACTCCTACTGTTGTCATCTTTATTGAGCCACGGGAGAATTCATGACATCTTGGCAGCTGGTGTCCCCGAGGGCGGCTGGAGGAAGTCCCCTCCCCGACCCATTCCCCTTCCATCCTCATACTCCTGGTCCTCACAGCTGGTCAGAGGCAGACTGAAGAAGAGGTCTGGCTGTCCCCTTCACAAATGGCTTCCTCTTTGGAAATGGCCTCACTCAGGCCCTGCAGGTCGTCAAGCAAGACAGAAAGGGATCCTGGAGGGACAGGAGGTGGACAAGGCCATCACAGTCACAGTGCAGAGGAACAGGGCTGCTACCAGATGTGGGAGGGTTATGAGAAAGAAAGCTCTTGGCCCAAGGCAGGCTGTGGGCCTCCAGGGTCACAGAGAACAAGGCTCAAGCCCTGCAGAGTGCCTGGAGGAAAGGTTCCCAGGGTCCCCCTGCCCTCCGTCCCTTACCTTTGATGGACTCCTTGGTGGAGAGAGCCGCTGCCGGGGGTGTGGGTGCTGACGACTCTGAGGGCTTCAGGCTGGGCTCCACAGGTACGCCCTTATCCAACGGAGAAGGAAGAACTGCCAAGAGTCGCTGCTGCTTGTAACGGGAGAGGAGACCCTCCTGCTGCAAGGTGGCCTGGGAAGGAGAGGGTTAAACGCCACCGAGCCCGGGCAGGGCCCCCTCCCCTCTCCCCAGCTCTGCTCCCCAGCCAGCCCAAGAAGGGCCCAGTCTCTCCGCCTCCTACCAGCATGAGGTTCTTGTCCCTCTCCAGCTCCTTCAGGCGCTGGGTCAGCCGCTGCCCCTCCTCCTTCTGGGCCTCATCCTGCAGGCGCCGGAGCTCCTGGTTCCGCTCCTTTTCCCGGGTGGCTTTGCGCTGGATCTGGCGTAGGGAGATCACTGCAGGAAAGCCGGGCCACAGAGGGGAAGGGTGTTGGCAGCCCAAAGGCTGCGGGGAACTGAGAACACCAGCCTAGAAGCATGGGTGGGCACACTGGGTCCCCAGCTCTGTGACTCAGGGAGCCACGGACGCTTTGTGGCATTCAGTCTCTGCTGTACAGATGGCGGGGTGGTGGATGCTCTAGAATCTTGTGAATCTGTCAACCCTAAGTACCTCCAGCATCCCTGAAGCTTCCTGGAGGGCAGGAGGGGAAATCTGAATAGGGACTGGATATCAGATTTTGTGCAGTTCAAGTTCATTTTCTTAAAGTGTGACCATGGTATTGAGGTTACATAGGAAAATATTCTCCTTGTGGGAGATGCAGCTGAATAGTCAGGTTGTTTGCAACTTATTCTCAATAACTCCCCCCAAGATGTATATATATCAATATGTATAAATATACAGATAGACAGGAAAGGTGATCAAAGGTTATAAACTGCTGCTCTAAGGGGAGAAGGCAGATGAGTACCATTACATGATTCTTTTAACGTGGCTAAGTGTTTGAAATTCTTCCCGATAAGAATTGGGGGTAATCGTTGGTATGTCAGGTTGTCTCTGTGGAGAGGGGTGACTAGGAGGAGCTGGGGGGATCTGGGGCTGGTCAAGTGCTATTGTTTGATCTGGGCACTGGCTGTACAGGTGTGTTTACCACTCAAGAATTCGTTTTCCTTGATAACTTCATGACTTGCACACTTCAAACAGAAAAAGCTTTCAAAATAAAGTTTTGACAATAATCTCAACACTTCCTCCTTCTTGGAAGCCCAGGTGCATCCCAGCCACTCTCACCAGCCTTGGTGTGTTCCCTGCGAGCCTCATTCAGTCTCCTTTCTGATTCAGAGAGCTGTTCCCGCAGCCGACCTTCCACTTCGGCCACCTTCTCCTGCAGCGCTGGGGTGGAGGTGCACACAGGGTGTCAGGGGAGCCTGGCCTCATGGTTCTCACCGCTCCCTGACCCCGGGACTGCCCCCGTCCACTCCTGCACACCTTGCCCGTAGATCTCCTGCTGCTGGGTCAGCTCCTTCCGGAGGCTGGCAGCCTCTGCCGTGCTCTCCTGCTGGCCCTGGCGAGCTGCCTCCAGCTGCAGCCCCAGACTAGCCAGGGACTCCTGTGTGCGCTGCAGCTCCTGCTCCAGCTGCTGGGCCACCTCGCTCAGCTTCTGCCGCTCCGCCTCCCCTAGGAAAAGGAGGTACCCACTCAGGTTCCTCCCTGCCCTAGACCCCAGCTCTTCCCTCCTCCTCTTCTTCCCTAAGGCCCCCTGACTCTGGCCCCTGGCTTGTGCTCGCTGACTTGCAAGCACCAGGCGTACCTTGCTCCCGGGCCCGGCCCACCTCCTGCTGGATGATGTGGGCGCTCAGCTGCAGTTCTGCATCCAAACGGTTCCGCTCCTCCCGCAGCTGCTCCAACTCGAGGCTCATGTCCGTGGTTGGTGGGGGTGGTGGGCAGCTGAGACAGGAAGGGAAACAGAGATGGGGGAAATCACCCAGCTGCCTGACCCCTAAGCCCTTATCCTTCCTCCATCCTCGTGTTATTTGGGTCCCAGCAACCAACACCCTAAAGCCCCACTCCTGCCCCCAGTAAATCTAAAATGGCCCAGACTTCACCTCTCCTGGCGCAGCTGAGCAAGGGCCACTTTTCGAGCCATCAGGCCTGGGGAGAAAAGGCAGAGAACATGAGAGGTGCATTTGCAGAGAGGAGGGGAAACAGGGGCGTAAGGAGATGCTCGGACCAGGGAAGAGGAGGCAGGAGGGTAGGCGTAGGATGAGAGAGCTGGTGGAGCAGGGGCAGGGGCAGGGCGTGGCTGGCAGTCACCCTACCCACCCCGAATGGTGTGGACCTTGCGGACAGCGTAGCTGACTCGGCTGCTGAGGCTGGGCAGCCGGGCTGCGGCGCGCTCCACCTCGGCCACGGTGCCCTGGAGCCAGGTCTGAAAGCTGGAGAGGACATGAGGTCACCAAACCCTCAACCCCACCTCATTTCCAAAAGGTCTTGACCCCCTCTATCCTGTGCTGCTACATACATGGAGAAAGTAGGGAAGGGGGATCAGTCCAAGGGGAAGAGAAGCTGAAGCCGACATCCAAAGCCGAGGAAGGATTGTTACCTGTGCAAAGAAACCTGCGCTTCTCAGCAGTCTAGTTTCTAAAGGTTCTACAACAACAGCTGTGAAGGAAACACCTAGGAAGTTGGTATGAGAGACAGCCTTGCAACTGATTAAAAAGGAAACTGGCATACGCTTTATTAACAGATGGAATATCTAGTAAGCAAGTAGAGGCAGACCTCGGATATACTGTGGGTTTAGTTCCAGACCACTGCAACAAAGCAAATACGGCAAAGCAGTACTGCAAAGTAAAGGTCGAATAGATTTTCTGGTTTCCCAGTGCTTATAAAAGTTATGCATATGCCATACTGTAGTCCATTAAGTGTGCAATAGCACTATATCTTAAGAAACAACTAAACATTTAAAAACAACATTAATTTGAAAATAACGCTGTTGGGAAAATATCGTGCCAAAAGACTTGCTTGACGCAGAACTGCCACAAACCTTCAGCTTGTAAAAAAATGCAATATCTGTGAATAATAAAGCAAAGTACAATAAAACTTTGTATGCCTGTGGGTGTTCAACTTTACTTATTTATTTATTTTTTTGGTGTTCAAATTTAAAAGAAAAAAAATAGGTTAAATTTTTTCCCAACCCAACAGGGCATGCCTGCAAAATTTTAAAGAAAGAAACAAAGATCAAGTGTCTATACTCCCCATCTTTGAACAGTTCTGAAGGTAGAGATCTGGCTGTGCTAAGTTGCTTTAGTCGTGTCTGACTCTTTGCAACTCCATGTACTGTAGCCCATCAGGTTCCTCTGTCCAAGGAATTCTCCAAGCAAGAATACTGGAGTGGGTTGCCATGCCCTCCTCCAGGGCATCTTCCCGACCCAGGAATCAAACCTGTGTCTCTTACATCTCCTACTAGGTGCTCTGTTTAGCTCAAGCTGTTATTAACTGCAGGAGGAAGTTAACCTCATCTCAGCCAAACTTGCAGTGGGTGGGAGTCATAACAAGTGACCGTGGTGAGAATGTGGCCAGGTGGGGTGGGGGGGTGCCCCATAAAAAACAAAACAGATACTTTTACAGGGCTAGATACCTCCAGCCCTGCTTCCTCCAGACAACCAGCCTTCCAGCCCCACTTGCCTGAGGCTCTTAAACTTCAAGATGCCCAGGAAGTCTAGGAAGCAGGAATGCTATTCCACCCACCCTCCATCCCAGATACCTGCTCACAGCATTGGCCACAAGCCTCAGCTGCTCCTCTGCTGGGGCCATCTGTTGCCTCCTCCGGCACCGGGCCTCCTGAGTGCGGCTCAGCTCCATCTGCAGGGCCTAGGAAGGATGAGGTAAAGAAAGGGGTCCCATGCCTGGGGTCTTCCTACCCTCCCTCAGCCTCTGCCCATCTCAGACGCTGACCTTGGCGCCCACCCGCTCCACCTCCACCTCGGCAGCTTTGTCCTGCAGGGAGTGCTGCAGGATGGCCTGCTCCTGGCACTGGGTTTCCACCCTTTCCTGGAGCTCTGCCACCTGGGGAAGGAAAGGAGGCAGGTCCAGAGCAGAAAGCTGTAAGGTGGGGGTGGGGGAAGCATTGGGAAGGCAGGGGCAAGTGCAGAGGTCTCTGAAAGAAGGCCACGCTGGAGACAAGAAGCCCCGTTCTTGAGAATGGAGTCTGGGTCCAGGTTTCCTTCCAGAAGCATGTTCCATGGTCCACACCTTGAGGAACTGCCCTGTGACCTGCCCATAAGGACCCATAGCCTCGGCCCATGCCACCCACCAGTCCTTAAACACTCACCTCCTGGAAGAGGCCATCCCCGACCACCCTACCTAAGGCCAACCCACCTCACAAAGTGTAAGCCTCATGAGAGCAGGTCTTTGTGGACTTTTACTCAGGGCTGTGCAGCCAGCACAGGGGAGCCACACAAGTATCTGGTGAATAAACGCCATCCCTTCCGCAAGCAGCAGGGAGCTGGGGGAGAGCACGGGAGGAAGTGGGCTCCAGGCAACCTGTCCCTTCAGTCGCTCCACGCATTCTCTGTGCTCCAGCTCCTGGGCCTTCAGCTGCACCATGAGGGCAAACACCTTCTCCCGCCAGCGCTTCAGCAGGGACTGGCACTTCTTGGTGAACTCGGGCTCCAGGCAGTCTGAAGGCTGAACCTGCGGATGGAGGAAGCAGGGAGAGTGGGGGCTCCTGGGGGAGCAGAGGAAGGAGGGGGGTCTGGTTTCTCCTATCTTGCCCTGGCATCAGGAGCCACAGCAAAGAGAGGTGTTCAGGGCAAGAAAGATGTCGGCAGGTTCTGGGAGTGGCACACCAACCCCTCCCGCGCACAGGGGCCGAGGGGCCTGGGCCAGGGGCCTACCTTCCGGGCCAGCTCCTCCTCCTGCATGCAGAGGATGTGTGAGAGGCTCTGCACGCGCACCTGCAGCAGCTCGGTGGTGGTGTGCAAGCTGTCCCGGTCCTCCTGCAGGTGCTGCAGGCGAGGTGGGGAAAGAGGGCAGCCACCTCCATCAGGTCTGCCAGTGGCCCTCGGGTGGCGCCCAACCTGTGCACCCCTCGATGGCACTGCCTTTTCTCCCGGGGACTGTGCTCTTCTCCAGAGGCCCTTGCCCAGGACTTGAGCCCTCATGTTCCGTCCCAGGTCGGGCACTCTCTCACCTGGACGGTTTCTAGAAGCTCCTGTCGCTCTGATTCCCATGCGTGGCTGTGGACCTCCGGAGGGACCTGCTCCCCCACATACCTCCTCAGGTTCTCAACCAAGGTCACCTGAGCCTCCAAGTCCTCTTGGGTCTTGCTAGGGTTGGGGTAGGAGCAGAGTAGCCATCAGGGGGCCACCCTGGAGACCCACTTTCCCCACCAACCCACCAACTACCAGGTCCCCCTCAGGTCACCCACTCCCCTGAACTCACCTCAGCTGCTTCCGCAGCAGCTCGGCCTCCCTCTGGGCTGCAGCCAGCTCCTTGGTTTCCCCTGACCTCCGGGTTTCCAGATTATTCAGAGATTTCTCCAGGCCCCCAGCTTTGCTGGTCAAACTGGAAATGGCCTCCTGGTGAGCCTGGGTCAAGGAAGAGAGCTGCAGAGAGAAGGGAGGACTCAGCAGGGGCCAGCTGGCCCACATCTGGGCTTTCCAAATCCACCCCCTGCTTCAACCTTGGCCTTCATTCCCACTTTCTGCGACCCTGGACAAGCACCCGAGAAATCATCTAACTGCCACAACAAAACAGAGACCATCCTTGGTGCTTCACTTCCCATCACCCTCCAGTCCATCAGCAGTTCCTGTCAGGTATCCCCCCAGAACACTGTCACTTCTCTCCATATCCAGTGCCACTAACTTAAGGTAAACCACCTCATCTCTGGCCTGGACAATGACAGCAATCACCTGACCAGTCTTAGAATCCTTCAGTGGCTTCCCACAGCATTCAGACCAGCTTCTCCCCTGGGTCTGTGAAGCCTGTGTCATGCCTTGGCCTCTGAGTTCCCATCCTGTCTCTCCACTGCCCCCTCTGCTCCAGCCACAGTGCTCTCTCATCGTCCCCCACAAGTCTGCTCCTTCCCACCTCAGAGTCTACCCAGAGGCCTGTTTCCCCCAGCTCCTCAGATCTCCATGACATCACCTCCCGGGGCCGCTACTCACCACCCATCACCTGCCTGGTCCTGTCATCTGTTCGTGCCCTTCCTGCACTTATCATTACAAAATGATCCTGCTTCTGCACCTGCTTACTATCTACTTCCTGCCATCCGGAAGGAAGCCCAAGGAAGGCAGAGAGCTGGTCTCTTTCAACAGCACCTCCAGCAGTGGTAAAGGTGTCAGATACGCTGAAGGAGTCATGTTGTGGCCTTCCCCAGCCCCTAGACCAGTGGGGCTCCTTTGTCCTCCTTCACGGTACTTCTCCCGATCACAGTTAACTAATTATAGTTAAATAAGGCACTGAATGTGTCTTCCACTGGGTTGTCAGCTCCACCCACGAGGACAGGGAGTTGACTGATTTGCTCACCCCAGTGTCCCAGCTCTTGTTTCAGGAATGGCAAAGAGGAAGCATGGATACATGCCTGCTGACTGAGTAATCTACCCTTCCCAGTCCACCTCAGGACCCCTCCCACACCCCTCGCTCCCCTTCCCGATGCTCCCAGATAAACTGCGTACTTGGAGTAAAGCAGAAAGACAAACTACTTCCCCCTGGAAGAGGAAGCAGGGCTTCAGGTGATGGGAATTCACCTGAGTCTGAGTGGAAAAGGGCAATCTGAATAAGACCAACACACCAAAGTTCTCCCTCTTTCCAGGTCACTTGTATTTTTTTACCTTCACCAAACACCTCATCACTCTTTTCGGCAAAGCCTGTTCTTTGCTGGGGAGCTCTGGCCCAGCTCCCCACTGGGCAGCCGAGCCTTCCCCACACCCACATTCACCTGTTCTTGGTGCAGCCTCTGAACCTCCTCCAGCTCCCGCTGGCTCCCTTCTTCCAGGTTCTTCCGGACAACCTCGGCCCCAGCCAGGGCGGCACGCAGGCCCTCGGCCTCAGCGCGACCAGCTTTCTCCGCCCGTGCCAGTGCCTCCAGCTCCACAGCCTGAGCCTCCAGCCTCAGCTTCTGCTGCAGCGAGGTCTCCTGTAGCACCCGGACCTCTTCCTCCAGCCGCCGCAGCTCTCGCAGCTGCCGAGAGATCAGCTCAGCCTGCTGGCTCAGGGCCTGCGATCCTGCCAGCTCCACGGACCTTCAGAGACAGGTTAGTCTGGTGGTGAAAGCAGCCAAGGCATAAATGGAGACAGGAGAAGAGGAGAGGATCCCTCTGCTCCTATGTGGAGAGATGGCAGGGAATGAAGCTGGGCCACGGGGATCTCTGCATTCCGTCACCATCATCATTCAAGGCAGCCCTACTAAGCATATCTGGGTCCACAGGACCTCAAAAGTTAGCTGAGTTAATGGACCATAACCTCTCTTGAAGGCAATATACAGGCAGATGTATTAACCATCACAAGCGTACATCATTAGGCTACACATTCTGAACTGGAGAAGTCTGAAGGACACTGAGACTGCTGAATTCTGACTTAAGGGCAGGGAAAAGTTTGATGGAGGTACAAAGAGAAGTGATAGCTTCCAGTATCAGTATGGCAAGGCCAGGTGCCAGTTAGGATTATTTAACTATTAGATATCCTGCATGAGAAGTCTGAGAGGGCATCACCCCAATAAATTACAAAGTCTCAACCTCTAGAGAGCTGAAACCAGCTTATAAGATGATTCTTCACACAGTTCCCTCACTGAGGCCCAGAACCACAGCACTTAAAAAAAATTTTTTTTTGGCTGTGCCGTGCAGCTTCTGGAATCTTAGTTCCCAAAGCAGGGACTGAACCGTGTCCTTCTCAGTGAAAGCTTGGAATCCTAATCACTGGACTCCCCAACACTTTTGTACAGGATCTGTAGCCTACAGAAATTAAGTGACTGGACAAAGGATCTTTCAGTTCAGTTCAGTTGCTCAGCTGTGTCTGACTCTTTGTGACCCCATGAATCACAGCATGCCAGGCCTCCCTGTCCATCACCAACTCCCGGAGTTTACTCAAACCCATGTCCATTGAGTCAGTGATGCCATCCAACCATGTCATCCTCTGTTGTCCCCTTCTCCTACTGCCCCCAATTCCTCCCAGAATCAGGGTCTTTTCCAGTGAGTCAACTCTTCCCATGAGGTGGCCAAAGTACTGGAGTTTCAGCTTCAGCATCAGACCCCCCAATGAACACCCAGGACTGATCTCCTTTAGGATGGACTGATTAGATCTCCTTGCAGTCCAAGGAACTCTCAGGAGTGTTCTCCAACACCATAGTTCAAAAGCATCAATTTTTCAGCGCTCAGCTTTATTCACAGTCCAACTCTCACATCCATACATGACCACTGGAAAAACCATAGCCTTGACTAGACAGACCTTTGATGGCAAAGTAATGTCTCTGCTTTTTAACATGCTATCTAGGTTGGTCATAACTCCTTCCAAGGAGTAAGCATCTTCTAATTTCATGGCTGCAATCACCATCTGCAGTGATTTTGGAGCCCCCAAAAATAAAGTCAACCACTGTTTCCACTGTCTCCCCATCTATTTCCTATGAAGTGATGGGACCAGATGCCATGATCTTAGATTTCTGAGTGTTAAGTTTTAAGCCAACTTTTTCACTCTCCTCTTTCACTTTCATCAAGAGGCTTTTTAGTTCCTCTTCACTTTCTGCCATAAGGGTGGTGTCATCTGCACTAGGGGGTAGCCAAACAAGCCACAGAGAGTCTCCATCTCCTGATGCTCTCACACTCCCCTTTCATCATCCTGCTTCTTTCCCTTTGACAAGGTCCAAAGTAGAACCAATTGCAATCCTGCTCAAGAACAAAATGTCAGAAGGATGTTCCAGTACATTTGGGAAAAGACTCACATGAAACATCAAGAATAAGAATTTTCATAGACAACACATTGACAGAGAGCATGGCCAGCTCCACCAGATGAACTCATACTACTACAGCACCCAGTCTGTATATCCAGCCCACACTTCTTCAGCCTGCCTTATACTATGTTTAGTACAATCAGCTGTGGGTCAACCAATTTTTTCCCTTAGGATTTTAAATTCTTTGATATCATGATCTCTTATTTATTTTTGTTATCTTTGTCCCTAGCATCTAGCACACTGCTATTATTTATGCATTGTAGACACCAACAACTGCTTATTAAAAAAATGAACAAACTGTGGAACTAAGGGTTGAAATAGCGTAAGGACTCTATTACAGTGAAGAAGGGTCATTGACAAGCAAGTCCAAGAGAACAGTAACATTAGATCCGTACCTGCCTCTCCACTCTGGTTCCTGCCCTTTGCCAGAAACTTCCTGTTCCCACGTGGTCACTTGAGGTCTCTGGTTGTCTGGCCGCCTCTCTAAGACATCTTGATGGGTTGGGCGCTGGACCAGGGGAGTGTCTGAGGCCCATGTGGGAGCCATTCTCGGCAGAGTTGGAAGGGGCAGAACTTGGAAGTGGGATGGGGGAATCAGCCCAGTGGAACCTAAAGAATCATAAGGACAAAGGTACTCAGTTCTCCAGGGAGACACCATCACCAGTCCCCATGGCAGGTCCCACTGACCTGAAGGTCGAAACATCTCCACATTATTTGAAGTCTCTAGAGTCGGTCTACAGCCATCTATGCCCCCCTGAACAATAGGAGAAACAAGGACACTCCAATTCAATTTTCAGGCCTCCTTCCAAAGAGAGGGCCCCTACAATAACAAAGTCATAATCCTTAAATAACAGCCAGGTCCATCCGACTCTTAGCTTTTCTTTATCCTACTTCCCAAAAGAAGCAGGAAGTACCCCAAGATCCCTTGCTTGTCTCAGTCTGGTTCCTGACAGACTATGGCAACAGGCATGAGGTGGAGAGAATTTACTGAGACAGGCTGAGGGGCTGTGAAGTTTTACTCATACTTTTAGAATTCTGGACAGTGCCTTTACCCTCCTCCTTAAGTTTCTATAGTCTCTGCAGTTCCTGGATGAAGGTGACAATTGAGGTATGCGATGCAGGGGCCGTGAGCCCAGTCTCCAGAGTTCTCTCCATGGCTCACCAAGGCCTTGGGGAAGCCCATCCAGACACCACCAAGCCATGACTCCCGGGTCCTTCCCTATCAAAGCGCTGGCCCAAGGCCTGGCCCCTGATGAATGTGGCCACATGTAGCACAGGATGCCCCCCAGAACAGCTTGGGGAATCCAGGCAGCCTAGACTCCTTAGCAGAAAAGCCAGCTAGTTTCGGACATCTCATCCAAACCGTGCCAGCAACTTTCCACTCAGTTTCTCTCTATCCTCCCTTCAGCTTCCATTCCTGCCTCCCACCTGCCTCTCCAGAGTCCTAGAGCAGAGAGAAGTCTTGTCAAGATCTCCCCACTCTCCCACCCGAATTCATCTATTTTTCTCCCAATCTGGGACCCCTATCCCTCCCTACATCACTATTTGCTTTTATCCTGAATGAATTATGCTGGCCCCTCACCCTCTCATATCTCAATAGCCTGCACTCCCTCCCTCTCCCCCAGATCCTCCTGAGTCTTCGCCCCGCTGGACGCTGAGCTCTAAGGCTGTTCTGACCACCTCATTTGTTCCTTTACCCTGCCCTTACACCCCTCGGCCCTGTGGACCCCTGAACCCACCCCCGCACCCCCTCTCAGCCCCTTCCCGCCCCCAACTGACTCTTGCCGAATACCCCTTACCCAGCGCGAGAGACCCCACAGCCCTCTGGCCACACCCCCTACACCTAGCTCCCGGTCGCGGCCTGGGTCCCTGACCGCGCCTGCGCAAAGCGGGCAAGTTGGCGGGACGCTCTAAGCCTGCAGGGTTACCACTACGGAAGGAGGCGGGGAAGAAGCGCACGCAGGCGCAGTAGTGTCTAAAGCCAGGCCCAATTAAGGCGTTGGGGGCATCTCCGCGCCTTGGCGGCTCCTCCCAACTCCGGGAACCCGGGAAAACTTGTGAACTAATCAGAAAAAGCGGAAGGCGGGAGATCCCAGTGCGCCACCCAATGGAGAGAAGGAAGGCAAACGAGATGGCCAATCAGAAACGGCTCGGGCGACGGGCTCGCTCCGCTCGAAGTCCAGATCCGGGAATTCCGAAGGCGGGGTCGGCGATGCCCGCGCGCGGAGGCCGCGCCCCTCCTGGCCCTGGCTTCTTCGCTGTCAAACAGCCGCTGGAGCACCAACCCCGGCCGGATCCCGAGAGGTCCTGGGCTGCGGCACAGGCTGGCATTGCCTGGAGAGGGAACCATTCCGAGACTGCACAGCGCGGTAGATACAAATCCGGGCTGGGGCGGGGAGGGAAAAGGCTGGATTTGTCTTGAATCATCCCGGGAAGCCCTTTCCTCTGTTTTTATCCCACCTGGAGAAACCAGAAAGCAGGGTTTAGCTCCACTTTGTTGGACAACGTAGAGCCCCGTTTGCACTGCCTTTGAGGGGTGACTGAGTACACTTCCCACTGGGGTTCAAGCTAGCCAGTTATGAATGAGGGATTGGTTAGAAGAGTGAAGCGTGAGTTAGCAGGAGGGTTACTCTATTAGGAAAAGCAGGTTTGACAGGAAGAAGCTTCTCTTCTCCAAATTACACTGAAGTGACAAGTTAGTATATCACACAGAGGCAGCACCCCTCCCAACGCCCCCCCACACCTACAGTTCGAATTGCCCTAGAAGCTGCCTAATGTATTGTTGACTTGCACAGATTGAAGGCTCCTGGAATATTTTGCGGCCTGAGGGAGGATCCGATTCAACTTCGTGCCACAGGACGCCTTCTATTTTGCACTACACTGGAACTTTAACCAAATTTTTTCAGTTGCAAAGCTGTTGACAGCCAATTTTACATCGCATCCTAGGGTCCCTACACCCAGAATTTGCCGTACTCAGGGAGTGTGCTCAAAGTCGAAATTGCACAAAGGATAGCTCAAGTTTGCATCAGACGGAAAGTGAATTTAGGCCAGCTGTGCACGGCCCAGGGCGTGGACAAGGTGATGGACTCCTGAAGTGAAGAGGTGGTGCCGAGGGGGCCCCGCCCATGCTGCCCTGCTTCCAGCTGCTGCGAATAGGGGTCGGCAAGGATGTCGATCTCCACACCTTCCACCCCCCCAGTGGAGCTGGCTGCACCTACCGCTTGGGTTGCAGGGCCGATCTCTGTGATGTGACCCTGCGGCCACAGCACGAGCCAGGCTTCATCTCTGGGGTCCACGCAGAGCTGCATGCGGAGCGCCAGGGTGATGACTGGAGGGTCAGCCTGGAGAACCACAGCAGCCAAGGTGAGGAGTGAGCAGGGCAGCCTTATGCCAGGGCAGTCGAAGTTCTGGGCTGGAATGAATTAAGAGACTCCATAGGGACTCTGCCGGCCTCCCAAACTCCCCATCAGGTTGGATGGACGGTTGTCATGCAGACTTCTGTCTTTCCACCAGAAATGTGCAGTGTCAGAAGCTCTTTGTGGGGCTGATCCTGTTTAGCTCATAGAGGGGGTGGGAGGTAGATCCATGGCCTGGAGCGTCACAGTGGGCTTGTTCTGAGACCATGGTGGGCGGAGGGGGAGCAAGCTTAGACTTCAGTTTCCAGATTGTTTAGACACTTGTTCTTGCCTTAGGGCAGTTGTGATATATGTTGAATTATGTTTTAATTATCTGGACATGTGCCTTACTCCCTGACTTGGAGGCAGTTAGGCAGCCTCAGAAGGCCTGGGTTTACATGAGTTCTGCTGTTGGCCCCTGGTAACATCACTCAGGTAACATTAGTGGCCTCTCTAAGTCTTAGTTTCCTCTTAGCTAAAATATGTCTTTGAAAAAAAATATGTCTTTGCAAGTGGGGAGTGGACAACTTCAATTGGCCAACATTCATTTCCTGTTTATTATTATGAGACAAGAACTGTTTTATGTGCATTAAATATAGGTGAGCACAAATGCCCCATTTTACAAAGCAAATGAAGCATAAAGAGGCTGACTTGTCCAGGGTCACTTGGCAGGTAAATGGTGGAATTTGGATTTGAACCCAGATAGTCTGAGCTATGCTGATAAGTGCTGAGTTGGAGCTGAGAGTGAGCATCTCTGAGACCCAGACCTCAGTGGATTGAGGGAAGTTCATTCCATGTGCCTTGAGGGAAAGCATAAGAAAAAAAAGACAAAAACTCATTCTTAGCTCACAGGGAGTTTCTTATCTGATGACACCTATTACTGAGGGACTTAGAATGTGAGGATTTCATGACATGCATGTGCTCTTCCTCGTATTCCTCAGAAAACCAGACAGGACCAGATTTCTCCACTTCTGACCAGTCATTTGTTTTTTTCGTTCTCTGTATCTGTCTGGTGCCCCATAATCAACAGGGACTTTGGTCAATAATGTCCGACTCCCAAGAGGTCACAGGCTGGAGTTGAGTGATGGTGATCTTCTGACCTTTGGCCCTGAAGGGCCCCCAGGAACCAGCCCTTCAGAGTTCTACTTGTTTCAGCAAGTCCGAGTCAAACCTCAGGATTTTGCTGCCATTACTACCCCACGGTCTAGGGGAGGAGAGGGAACCAGGGTTGGTTTCCGGCCCATGCTGCCCTCCCAGGGGGCTCCACAGCGCCCCCTCAGCACCCTCTACCCAGCCCCCAAAGCAACGCTGATCCTCAACTCCATTGGCAGCCTCAGCAAGCTCCACTCCCAGCCCCTCACCTTCTCACGGAGTGGGGGTGGGCCACAGAGTCCGCCTGTTCCCACTCCCACCGGGGAAGTGGGGACCACCCCTTCTGCCCCACCCCCAAGAAACCGGAGGAAGTCGGCTCACCGCGTGTTGGAAGAACTGGATGATGAGAGAGAGGCTCCCAAGAGCCCCTCACCAGTCCTGATGGAACCTAGGAAGAAACTCCGTGTAGAGAAAACCCCACTGACACCCAGTGGGTAAGTGAACTTGGCTTTATTTCACTGCCTTTGGTTCTTTTAGAGCCCTAGGCTGAGATGTACCTATCTGCTTGGGTGGTGGGGATATGAGGTGGAACACCTGTTGCAATGACAAGATCTGGGCTAGCTCTGCTAGCCAGATTCACCATTAATCTAGTGAATCTCTATGGGTTCCCTCTACAGTTATCCCGGAGGAGGGGGGGGAGTTCCAGGCTTCTGCAGGTTTCCAATGACCTTGGTTTTTGTGTCCCTTTCTTCAGAAATCGACGTGGGCGTCCTCGGAAGCACCCACTGAGCAACCCTAGGGCTCCCCCTGCAGTTGGGGGCGGGGAGCCCTGTGCAGCCCCTTGTTGCTGCCTGCCCCAAGAAGAGACAGTGGCCTGGGTTCAGTGTGATGGCTGTGACATCTGGTTCCACGTGGCCTGTGTTGGTTGCAGCATTCAGGCTGCCAGAGAGGCCGACTTCCGGTGCCCAGGCTGTCGTGCAGGCATCCAGACCTAAGGCCCACCGCCAAAGCAAGAGGACAGAGCCGGCACCTCCAGGCCAGGGGTGGACACTGAGGGTGCCAATGGATCCTAAGAGCTGCCCTCTTCTGTCCTTGCCTCTCCAGGAGGGAATGACTACAGGAGAAGTGTCCACTCCTGTGGATTATCAATTCAAGGCCTGGAGCAGGGCCTCATGGCAAAGGTGACAGAAAAGATGGCTTCCTGCCAAAGATATTGCTGCCTCCAGGAAGTTACCAGTGAACTGGAAATTCCCACTGTCACAAGCTGTGGGTCCTTGCTGTCGTGGACATTAGAATGTCTGTGGTCAAGAGCACCCATCAGTTGTACAGGTCATGCCTGGGAAGTTATAAGCCCCAGCCTTGAACAAGCAAGTTCTTAATGTTTTTTATGGTATCACCTAAGGTATCTCTGGGAAAACCTAGAGCACAGACCCCAAACTTCCTTACATTGTGGGTGATCCTGCTGCTGACTGTGACCTGACTTTTCAGAGCTTTGCTTCCATTTCCAAATAAACAATGAGCAGCTTCATATGCTCTAAGGTATTTACTCTTTGTGTGGGTCTGATACTCCTTGCTTTCCAGTTCTTGAGAGAATGGAGTTGGTTAAAGTCTGGAAAATTAATTCAGATACTTACAGGAAGAGACAAGCAGATGAGGCAGAGGAAAACAGGCAAAGGGGAATCTAGGTAATTATAGTTGCTAATTTAAAGGAAAACATTCACTGCCGTTAAAATAAGGTAATTTGGATTTGGTCAAATTCATGAGGGTGGTGGAACTTCTACAAGTTTCATCAGTACTACCAAGAAGAGAAAACCTGAGACACCAGCTAGAGCAGATGCCAACCTGGTCCAGTATCGATATAACCCACATATGCTACATTGAGTCTCTTCTGAGTTGCACACCAAGCCAGCACACTGTCAAAGCAGTGTTTCTATAGTTCTTACTAGGAAAGTCCTGTCTTGACCTATCTGATTGCAACCTGCATGTCCATCCCCTTCCTTCTCTACTTAGACTTACCAACCAAAGTTTTTTTATGGATCAAGGAAAGGCACCAGAGTAAGAGCCCTAATTAGGAAGTGGCAGAGTCAGGACTAAAGGGTGTGTAGTGGTAGGTGAGTCACAGACAAGGCAAAAACCTTAAGTGAAAACCAAATGGACCCCAGTATCAAGAAAGCACAAAGTGGAGTTTCTGGTTGGGGTGATATACAGAAGAAATGAGTAAAGGCTTGATTTCTTAGCACAAAGGCCACTGAGGACTACAGAGTAGAATGGGGGAAAGCAAAAACCCAGATCCTAGTAGGGAACAGACTATGTAATTGCATCTTTGGGCAAAGGTGTTCCATCTCCAATTTCCACAGGACCGCAAGTCACAGGCTCCTAAGAACTAGCTCACGCTTATAAAGAGCCCTATTCATATAAACGGGATCCAACCCCACACCTCCCTCTGACATTGTGACTGCGCAGTGTAAACAGCAACCTTCGTTTCGGGGTCATTTGGGTCGGAGAGCTGTTAACACCCACTATTAAATATCCTATCCACTCTTTAATAACTAGAGGATAAACCAAAGACAAAAATGTCCACCTACTAGGTCCCAGGCTTCTTTATTTAAGAACAAAGTGATGAGTGATGTGGGGATTAAAGTCAAGAGCATCATTGAACTTCACCTTCCCTCCAACCAGTTTCCCCAAACTCCCTGCCCCTACACCCATTGTGTTCCCAATTCCTTTCTTAGTGAATGAAAAACTTAATCCCAAAGCCCTGTCACAAACTCCAGGGTTCTCTCCCTAGCTCTCCCCTTCCTCTGCCCACCATTCCTGGGGTGAGCAGGCACCTCAGTTTGAATGCATAGGAGAGCCCAGAGCGGTGACAGACACCGAGGGAAAGGCCTCACCCTCAGGGAATGGGACCGAAGAGTACAGTGTAGTGAAGTGAGGGCCCCCGTAGCCTGGGGTACCAAAATGGGGCCCTGGCGCCAGAGGAAAGGATACGGGTCTCCCTGCGAAGGGAGACCCAGCAGCCTCAAAATCCTCTCGTTGGGAGTAGTCACTGCTTGATCGTTTGCCCTTCTGGCGACGGTTGCAGAACCACACTCGGACCACCTAGGAGTGGAGGACATGGGAGAGAGGCATTGGGTCATGAGATCTGGGAGGTGTGACTGGGGAGGAGGAGATGGCACACACGGGGACAGAGACAGGTGCACTCACGTCCTTCTCCAGCCCGAGCTGCTGGGCGATGTGGCTAATTTGCTGCAGGGTGGGCTTTGGGCACTGCAGGAACAGACTCTCCAGGTTGCCTCTCACTCGGTTCTCGATACTCGTCCGCTTTCTCTTCCGGGCCTGCACAAGGGTCTCTGCCTTGCATATCTGGGCAGGTGGGGAGGAGATGACAAGGAAAGAAATGGGCGGGCAAGCCCCAAACATGCTAAGGATCAGTATCAGGGGGACAATGACTTTAAGAGCCAACTGTTCAGGAGTACCAGCCAGTTGTCACCAGGGCCAGGAGGTATGAAAAAGATCCTGGAAAGACAGGTTTAGACAAGTGACCCTGGACCTGCTCTCAGCAGAACAGAGGAATCACACTTCATGCCATTGAGGGCCACTGGCTCCCAGAAGGCACGCTGCCAGCCAGAGATGAAAGCAGTGAAAATCAGACGAGATAGGGCCGTCCCTGTGCATCCCTCCCACCCTCACCTCCTGCAGATTCTCGTTGTTGTCAGCTTCCTCCACCCACTTCTGCAGCAGGGGCCGCAGCTTACACATGTTCTTGAAACTGAGCTGCAAAGCCTCAAAACGGCAGATAGTCGTTTGGCTGAACACCTTTCCTGGGGAGGTGGGTTGGAAGAAGCAAAGTGAGGTAGCAGGTAGGGCCCCTTTGCCCCAAGACCGACACAGGCCTTGCCACCTGTTCCCACCCTTCCAAGACCCCACACCGGATACTCTTCCCAGAGAACTCAAAAGTCCATGTTGAGTATCTTCCCCCCACCCCACCCTCACCCATAAAGAGGGTAGCAACACCCTCCCCCACTCCCTTGGTGGGGAGGAAAGGCCCCAATTCAGGGATGTTCATTCCAGGGCAGATGTAGTTCGTGTTTCATGGGTCAAAACATGCTGCAGGAGACTCACCAAAGAGAACCCCCAGGGTGAGCCCCACATCGGCCTGGGTATATCCTAGGGTGATCCTCTTCTGCTTTAGGAGCTTGGCAAATTGTTCAAGGTCTTTCTGAAGAGCTTTGATGTCCTGGGACTGCATTTTAAAAGGCAGAGGATATGTAAGAACATATGACAGCTATCCACCTCACCCTCTCTTCCATTTGGGCCCCAAGGTATGTGAGAGTATCTCTGCCTCTAGGGTGCCCACCTAACAACCAGAAATAATACAAATGTCATCTAGCCCAGAAAGCAACACATCCACCAGATGCAGAACACCATTCAATAATGGAAAGAGAAGCCCTAACCTCAATGAGGACACATGTCAGGTTAGGAAGGGGGTTCCTGCCTTTCAGTTCTTTAGTACTCACAAAAGTTTTTGACTCTAGTATTAACCCCAGTTTGAGGAAGTTTTGCATCTAGAGAAATACAGAGCACCATGTCTCTGATTCTCTCCAGATTACTTTGAAGGTCCCACAAACCACAACAAGATATGCACCTTCACAAACACATGCACACTACAAAACATGTCATACGAGGTATGAATAAAGTGTTTCCATATAGTTAGTGCTGAATTTTTAAAAACCTGATTATCCCTTATTTTTAAATAAAATATTTTTATTTATTTTCTTGCCATATAAAAGCATCCTCATTGACAAATTCCACAGATTTATTAAGCACCTTCTGTAAGCCAGTGGCTACACAAAGTAGACAAAAAACCCTGGCTGCATGGGGCTTTCATCGTGATGAAATAATTCTTATTCAGTAGGTTAGAAGTGCTACAGGCAAAAGTAAAGCAGAGTAGGGAATTATGGGGAAGGGGACAATTCTGAATAAGACAGTCAGAGGTCATGTTTGAGCAAGGAAGGAGTTAAGTGGAAAGGCCCTGAGGTGGGCAGTAACAAAGCTAGCAGGCCAGAGGAGGGTGAGGGCTGAGGAAAGGGAAGAGGAGCTAATGTGATCAGAGAAGTGAGCCAGGCAGATCCTGCAGCTGCCATCATGACCAAGTTTTACTCAGAGAAATGGAAAGTCACTGAAGGGTTTTGTGCAGTGAAATGGCCTGACTCTTGATTACTCCAGTTGATGTACTGACCACAGAGTAAGGAGGCAACTGCAGCAATCCCAGCGTACATAGATGATGGCGACTGGGACCAGGATGGCTCCAAGTGATCCATTCAGGATCTCTATCCAAGGTAAAGATTGCGGTATTTCCAAAGGACTAGATGTAAGGATGTGAAAGGAATGAGGATGACTAATTTGAGCCTTGAGTTTCTGGGTAATGGACAGGGAGGGGGCAGTGCAGGGAGCCATCCCAGAAGGAGACTGAACATGTGGTGGTTATGTCTACAAGACATTTGAGCCTTGACAGAGGAAAGGTAGACAGAACAAAGGTGGATGAAATGGAGCCTCTCCAATAGCAGGCCAGTGGCCAGAAGATGGAGAAGAGTAGTCAGGCCTCTGTGCAGTCCTAGAAACCTAAAGAAGTATTGGGTTGGCCGCAAAGTTCATTTGAGCTTTTAAAGCATGAATGAACTTTGCGGCCAACCCACTATCTGATGGGACGTCAGTCCCGTCAAACTCAAAATAGGCCAACTTCTGCTCAACCAATGTCGCAAGCCTGTAAATGTCAGCTCCTCCCATCTCAGCTTTTCTGAATCATATTTTGGGGATTTGAAATAAGATGAACCCCAGTTCAAATTCTAGCTTCACCATTTAGCAGTTAAGACCCATGAAACAGGCTAATAATACCTCCCTAGGAGATTTTGTGCTGGTTAATGAGATAATGATGTAGAAACTGAGCCCACAGCCAGGCACTTAGGAAATGGACCACAATTGGCAGCCATTATCATTCAAGGCTCAGCAGTCGCCTCCAGCAAAGAGAGTCTAGAGCTACTTGGTCAGCTGAAACCAATCACACCTCCTCGGGAGAGGTCTAAAGGCTTAGTACTTCATCTCTAATTGCTTGCACTTGTCTCTTCCTCAGACTAGAAGATATATCCTTAATAGTCCCCAGCGGGTTAGATGCAGAAGACTTCAATCCCTCAGCAAACCCTCCATTTGAGGAATGGCCTGCAGATGACTTGTTCCCCTTTTCTCCCCCTGTTCACTGCTTATGTAATTATGGCTGAAATTGGTGTTCCAGCTTTCTTATAAGGGGGTGTCAGGGTGTGCACTCTGCCTGACTGTGACTTATTGGTAGCAAGGCAGAGGTCAAAGGAAGACAAGCCCTAAACTTGATGGAAGGACTCCATCACATTCACACAGCCCAAACAGGAGCTTCTATCAGAAACCAGTCACACCCTAGACTCTCAGGAACAATAACCCTGGGATAAGCACTGTTTTCACCCTCGGGCCACACTTAACCCTAAGGCCCGAGATCCCGGGTCTGATAAGGGGCAAATTTCCCAGAAGGGATCCAGGTAGAAGGGGCTCAGACCCCAAGCTAGGTCTGGTGCTGGCTGGTAATGAGTGACCCGACCCAGGTCAGACCTAGGAAGTGGAAGGACCTACTTGACAAGGGCCGAGGGGGGAAGCAAGGCCGGCTTCCGACTGCCCCAGGCCGCCCTGCCCTCACCTGCGGTTCTGTCTTAAATTCCGGCCCCTGGTTCCCACCTGGCTCCAGCTCAGAGCGGCCTGCAGCCGCCACACACCGGTCCTTGCTCCGGGGAGTTGCCTCGGCCCGCTCCCTTCCTGGGTCCCCGACCACCTCCCCTCGCGTGGCCGCCCCCGGCCCGCGCGGTCACCGGTCTCCCGCCCCCAGCAGCTCACTCGCCTCCTCAGGGTTCGGCTCCAGCTTCTCCTCCTCCAGCTTCGCGGCGCCTGCGGGGGCGGCGCAGGGGTCCGGGGAGGCCCCCTCGGAGTTGCTCTCCACCCCGGCTCCCGCCTTGCTCTCGGGTTGAGGGGTCTCCAGGCCGCCTGGGGGCACCGGCCCCACTCCAACCTGCGGCGCACAGTAGGCCATCCCTCCGCACAAGTTATAGGGCGGGGGGCACGGAGGAAGCCCCCACACCTCGGCGCTGGGCACAACCCCCGGCCCGATCCCCGACCCACCGGGAGGCCCTTGGAAGCTCATCCAGGTCCGAGGATCAACCCAGCCCGGCTCTGACCCTCCCGGCCCATCGCCTCCACCGCCCGGCGGGGGCGAGAAGGCGAAGTCAGAAGTGAGGTGTCCCGCCATGGGGAAGGAAGGCACCCCGAGCCGGGGGCCTAGGAAAACGAGGGATCTCCTAGAGACTGCTCAACACCTCTCCCCCTCCCCAATCCCACCCACTAGCCTTGACCTCTGGCCCCGCCCCCTGGATGGGTGGGGGGAAGGGACGGTGGGGGTGGGAGAAACTGAGGCGGAGGGTGTTTGCCTGCTGGTGGCAGTGGAGTCTGGAAGGGGAAAGCCAGGGATCTCCACCCAGGCGCCTCTCCAGGCCCCAGACTCCTAGGCTCACGGTGCAGGTCCCCCATGCGGGCCTTCACTTCCAGCTCCCAACAGGCCTCCCAGCCCTCCCCACGCTCACACACTCCAGGGGTGAGGGGTCCCTTCCATACCCCCTGCACGTTCTTCAGGACCCCTCTACAGACACCCTGGCACCGTCTCCTCACCCGAGTCCTGCCACCCTCTCAACTCCTCAAACATTTATGCTGTATGTGTCAAGTCCCACTGGGGCTACTCCTCAATTTTTAACAGGCTCCTTCCCCATTGTCCTCCAGCATCGCAGTCCAGGAACCTAGGCAGTTCCCATTTAGACAACTGGCCAGATTCATTTCCCTGGTGGCTCAGATGGTAAAGAATCTGCCTGCAATGCCAGAGACCCTGGTTGTATCCCTGGGAAGATCTGAAGAAAGAATGGCAACCCACTCCAGTATGCTGGCCTGGGAAATCCCATGGACAGAGGAACTCGGCCGGCTACAATCCGTGGGTCGAAAAGAGTCGGACATGACTAACACTTTCACTTTTCAAAACTGTGATGCCTGGCACCCCTCTGCCCAGCCTGCTAAAATCCACCCCATCACCAGGGACAGGCTGCCAGACCAGCTTCCATTCCATCCGCAGCTTTCCTGACTCCAGAGGCCCCTCACCTACCAGACCAAGGGATGGAAACCCTACTTTCCCTTCTAGGGGCCGGGCTGTGGACTGACTAGGCCTGAGTCTCCCTACCTTTGTCCAGCCAGAGGGACAGGACACACCACCCCACGGGTCCCCCACTGTGGGTCCCGCATATCAAGTTCCTTGCCCCCCTCTTCAGAGACCCAAATATCTAGAACCATAGTTGAAGGTTCTCCCTCCCCCTCCTATCAGCCCAGACCTCCAGCCCTAGGCCCCGGGTGGGGAAAGCTTAGGAGGGAGAAGGGGAGAAAAAAAATATCTGACTTCAGGTTCAAAGGGGCTTGGGAGGGACTGGGGGAAGGGGCCCGGACAATGGCCTTGGCTGGACAATCCTGGTCCCCAGAGGGGGCAGCTCTAACCCTAAACAAGTGCTCAACCCTTGAATGGGCCTGGATGGCTCCCCTGGGGACAGCTTCCTGCCCCCCAACCCCCAGCCCCAATCCCCTCCCAAGAATCCCCTTCAGAGCAGCTAAAAGAGCTCCTGAAGCAACCCCCCACAACCCCTCAAAGACTGTGATCCTCAGACTGGGCCGCCCACTGGGGCCTAGGTATCCCGTCCCCCTCTAGAGGACACAGGCATCCAGCCTCATCTTCTACCCCTCCGCCAGCTCCCCAGGCCTTTGTTTAGGGGGGCTGGCAAAAAGATGAGGAGGAGCTGGAGAGTGACTTGGGGTGGAGGTGCAGGAAGCCTGCCCTAAGCTCTCCCACAGGTTTTGGGCTGGTCCTGAGGGCTCACACTGCAGGCTTAGTGCTTATTCTCTGTTTGCAAGAGAATAGCTTTCAGATTGCCTGTCTGCTAGGAATGATGTTTGTCTGTCTGCTCCCCAAACTTGCCCCAGATGAAGGCCCCGAGGTGAACTGGGGGGACTCCAGAAAGGCTGTGGACCAGAGCTCCGTACGCCTTGGAAGGCCAGAATCCTGAGCCTGGAACATGGACCTCTGTCGACTTAGACATCTCTTCATCCCGCCCTGCCTGAGGCTGTTTGCTCAGCATCTGCCTTCTGAGGTGCTGGGGGTCCTGTTGGGGGTCCTCGTGACTGTGGCCTGCCTCCTTCACCTTGGTCACATCTGGGAATCCTTTGAGCCTGTTTTTGTTTTTTTTCCCCCTCTCTCCTAAAATCATATCACATAGCCCCTGTTCCAGCCCATCTGAGTACTTTTTGGGCAACTAATATATGTGTGCATTTCAAGACTTCCCATAGGTCTGAAGAAAGATCTACAGGGCAGCGAAACTGGAGCTATATTTGCCTCTAAACCACTAACTGCCAAAAAAACTGATAGATTAAGGGACCTGGTGGGGGTGGGGAGATGTGCTTTGGACCAGAAGGGGCCCTCCCCAGCCATCTCCCCAACCCCCAAGACAGAGCCATCAGGGCCCCTTTGTCATGCATCTATCTGCTGTCTGCCGAGAAGACAGCCTCCCAGAGGAGGGGGAGGGGCGGACCTAGGAAATCTACAGCAGTGCTCCTTGCCACCCTCTAGGCTCCCAAAATCCCTTCTCCCCATGTGGCCCCTGCACCGCTGTCTTCCCAGCAGCCACTGAAACACCTTCTGCCTTTCCCCCCACTCAACAATACCCTTTTGAGATTACAATCAGTAATCTGATTGCTCTAAGTGGTATGTTTCTTGGCAAGAGTCCCATAGCAGAGGGAGAGACGGGAGGGGAGGGTGCCTGGGTGCCTGGTTGGCTGGTAGCCAGACATCTGAGTCAGATCAGTCCTGTGCTTGCCTGGAGTCCGACCCAGAACCTTAGTGGAAAGTTAAGTTTGTCTGCAGTTCTTTCCAGCCCTGTCCTGGGGTGCTGAGGCTGGCAAGGCTGAGGCACCCTCCCCTCCCCTCCCCACCCTCCTGTTAAACCTGAAGGGTAGGCAGCTTCACTTCTGCCCAGGCCAGCTCTCTGCGAGCCCAGAGGAGACTGCAAGCCAATTGAGTCATCAGACCTGGCTCCTCCACCCTCTTGGGTCTTGCGCGTGGATGGTGCATGCTCACTTGCTTCAGTTGTGTCCAACTCTTTGCAACCCCATGGACTGTTGCCTGCCAGGCTCCTCTGTCCATGGGATTCTCCAGTCAAGAATACTGGAGTGGGTTGCGATGCCCTCCCCCAGGGGATCTTCCCAACCCAGGGATCAAACTCGAGTCTCCTGCATTGGTAGGTAGGGTAGGTAGGTTCTTTACCACTAGCGCCACCTGGGAAGCCCTTCTTGGGGGTGTGTGTGTGTGTGTGTGTGTGTGAGAGAGAGAGAGAGAGAGAGACAGAGAGAGTTGCTCAATCGTGTCTGACTCTTTGCGACTCCACCAACTATAGTCTGCTAGGCTTCTCTGTCCATGGAATTCTCCAGGCAAGAATACTGGAGTGGATTGCTGTTCCCTTCTCCAGGGGTTCTTCTCCACCCAGGGATCGAATCCTGGTCTCCTGCATTGCAGGCAGATTCCTTACCATTTGAGCTACAGGGAAGTCCTCTTGGGTCTTAGGGAGTCGTTAAAAAACAAGTCCCCACCCCGACCCCTTCCCACTTGTGTCGTAGTAAAAAAATAAAAAAAAAAAAAAGTCCTCCAAGCGAATTTAGAGCTGAGCTAACAAACTCTCCACATAATCCTTTATTATGAGTGCAATGTCTAGAACCTGCACAAAGACAAATGCAAGTATCTGGTTATAGAACGTGACCCAGGGAGGGCAGGTGAGGGCCACCACTCCCTGCCAAGTGTGGCTGGCCTGGCAAGGTTGCCTAAAGGTGTGATGGTGGTCTTGCTGCTGTCAGCCCAGCCATCACTTCACTGGTTGGGAGACCCTGCTGAAATGGTTCATGGGGACCAATGGAGTCTTGCTCTAAACCAGGGTAGCAAACCACTTATTTTGACTTCTGGCTTCTGTCAAGGCAGAAAGAAGAAAGGGAAAGAATGGAGGACTGAAGAGAGAAGGGTTCAGGCTTTGTGCAGTTTGGGAAAATACTCCCTATATCTCAATTTACTCATATTCCACTGCTCACAGTAAACCAACCCCCTTCTTCTCAACAACTGACCCTATGACCTCTCCTGTGAGGTCTGCAAACTGAAATCTTTTCCCAAATCCAGATAGTGTTACCTCAAATCTAGGAATCAGCTCTCTGCTTGTAGTCTGCCGGGAGATAGAGAGGTGAGAGTAAGAGGAAGGGGAAGCCAGGAGAAGAAGTTGAAAAGCAAAGGTAACAAATATATTCTGTTACCACCACCAGGAGGTAACTGCATTAAGTCTGCACTATATCCCTCCAAATGTTTCTTTAATGACATATAAGCATATGTCTACATATCTGAGGGTTTTTTGTTGTTGTTCTTACAGAAATAGGCTAATACTGTTCATGAGTTCAGTCTCTCAGTCATCTCTGACTCTGTGGCCTGTAGCCCACCAGGTTTCTCTGTCCATGGACTTTTCCAGGCAAGAATACTGGAGCAGGTTGCCATTTCCTTCTCCACGGGATCTTTTAGACCCGAAAATTGAACCTGAGTTCATTAATATTATGAACCTACTATTCATAATAGTCTGCAATTCATAGATGTCCCTCTGTATATATAAATTAAACTCCTCTTTTTAATAACTGCATATCAGTCTATAATATGAGTATATCACAATTTATCTAGCCTTTCACTTGATGAATATTTGATCTGTTTCCAGCTCAACACTACAAATAAATCTACAATAAACATCCTTAAATGTTCTTAACATGGTATCTCTATAGGAGATACTCCCCACCGTAGATTGCTGGGTCAGAGGGTGGTAGGTATTTTCGTTTACATTGTCAGATTATGTTTATAATCAAGGAAACTGTCTCCAGTCTCCAAAGTTTCCATTTTAAAGAACACCCCTGTCCCTGTCTTTATCAGCTGTAGATGTTATGGCTAATCAGTTGAGTGATCTTTCATGAGTCTGTAGACCATTTGGAATTATAATTAAAGCTTTTAATGAGGCTGAACTGCCAAGTTTATCTCTGCCTCAAAAAGACTTCACCTCCCCTAGTAATTCAGCCAGGATCAGTGCTACTTTGTTCCTCAGTAGCCTGGTTCTGCAGCTGGCTAAGGTCATGGTACCCATGCTGAACACCACA